CCTCATTCTCAGGTTCAAGACAGTCGATCCATTTTAATGGATCCCTTTCATTGTCTAACCCACTCATATTTAATCCCCTCTCTGAACATTCTCAAAATCTCTACCAAGCAGAGAAGCCCAGTGCGAGAGGAAAGCCAAGCATTTCCAAACTAGCTTTCAGGAGCTACTACAAAGGGCATCTCTTTTGAGCCTCATAACTCTGTTAGATAGAGTCATTCTTGCCATTTTTCTGAGGCTGTCTCCTGTTTCAAAACATTTGAAAAAGCTAAGAGTTGGAGAGCTTAAGAAAAGCCCAAAGTCACACAGCCTAATAAGTTGCAGAGGCAAAACTGGAATTTGGGTCTGTCTTCCTTCTGCCATATCTTGCTTCTTGATCGATTTATTCATATATTCATTCAAGAAATAATTATCGAGCACTTTAAGGGAATCTGCTATGTTCAGTCACTATGCCAGGCACCGAAGACACAAAGATCATCCAAAACTGAAGAAAAAAATGACACTAGGGTAAGATATATTTCAAATAAGATCGATGTGGCCCTCCATCCCAGAATCCCCTCAATCCGTAACCTAATTAAGAAAAATTAAGAGTAACCATATCCTTATGAAATATAGTTTCATAGTTTTATTTTTCTAAAAGATATAATGTTGACTAATTAGACTATAACACTGAAGTATATGCATGATGTAGGCTATTGATATAACGCGAGAGAAGTTTCCAGGCTAATGAAATTCAAAGCAATTTTTCAAACTGATTCAGTCTAGATTACCTTTGAATTTCTCTTAACTGCCATACCAGACATAATTCAGGTGCCCCATTGGCATGGAACCCACTAGACTGTGATGAGTTAGTTATACACAGTCCCTGTGCTGTACTGTCTAACTTGGGTGTCATTGTTTTTCAATACGATCTTGGGATATCTTTTTCATCTAATGTTTAAAAAACTGGATGCAACAGGAAAGAGAAATCTGTATTATTTGTGTGTGTACACGATAGAAGTTATTTCAGCTTAGATTTGGATAATGCACTGCAAAATATAATCCAACTCTTTTTATTAAAGTATAGATGATATACAATATTATATTAGTTTCAGGAGTACAACCTAGTGATTCTACATTTCTATATCTCACAATGTGATCACCACACTAAACCTAGTAACCATCTGTTCCTGTATAAAGTTATTACTATATTATTGACTATATTCCCTATGCTGCACATTACCTCCCTATGACTTACTTATTTTATAACTAGAAGTTTGTATAATTCAACTCTTGACACCTGAATAGCACATATATGAGGGAGAAGCATTCAGTAATTTTCATACTCCAGGAGAAGAGACTGGTTTGGCAAGCTGTGTTGTATACTGGAAAACAAGCTTTGGGATCAGGGCCATTGGAGCCCCAGCCACATCTGAAGCAAAATATACATACATATATATACATATATATGCTATATTTCTATTGCATTTTCACAGGGAAGTGAAGTTTACATGTCACTAAAACACAGAAGTATTTCTCAACTTTTCTTACCTCTCTGACCATTGCGTTTTTCTCCTTCAAGGGCCTTACTTTCCCTGGTCATCTCTGAAATGCAGGTGTTGCCGAGGGTTGAGAATTGTGCTGTTTGTTTGTTTTTCTCCTACCTCTCATTTCTCTCCCTCACAGTTCCTTCGTTCTCACACCATTAACAATGCAAGAAAAAAATTCCTGATATACTTCATTAGTTCTCACTTCTCCAACTGCCTATTTGAAATACCCAGCTGTTTCTTGGAACATTGCCACCAAAGTATAACATCAGAATCCTCAACTTAGTGTGTCTCAAACCAGAGTCATCATCTCTCACTTAAAA